GTTACTTTGTTTTTGGAAAAGGGAAATAAGGATGTGGATACAGAATATTCACATAATTTAAATGGACCTAAGTATTAGAAACTTCACATGAAATGATGCAATGGTAGTTTTCAGTGATTAGGTAACACATAGTCAATTCTGAAGGGAAGGAGAACAAAATATGAAGGTTTTACATTTGTCCCAGCTTACTCCCTGAGGTACTTTTTCAGCTCTTGAGGAAAAAAGAATGAAGAAAGGTGAATGGAGACTCAAAGACCTGTAAAAACTTCAAGTGCACCACTATCCATGCAATGGGAAATCAAAAAGGAGAGGAGAGAAAAAATAGGCGGGGCAAAATATTTATTTAAATGACTAAAATGTCAGAATTTGATAGAAAATATTAGCCTATGCATCGAATAACTCAAGTTTATATATTTTCTAATAATTAGAGTTAATTTAGCGTTACTCTGCAGTGGATTGTTTGATAGGCTTTATTTTATGAGATTTGATTGCTGACAGCCTTTGAGCCTCATCTTTCCTTCTTCCTCTTCTGCCACACTTCTGGATAAGCTCCTAAGAAAGCCTGGGTGCTGCCTCCTTTGTTGCCAGCCAGCAGGAGATTTAAGCCACAGAAATCCCACCCTACATTCAGGAAGCCTTCCACCTCATATCCAAAATCAAAGTCGAACACAGGGAGGGGAGCACTGCACACTAGGGTCAGTTGGTGGTGGGGTATAGGGGAGGGACAGCAGGGGTAGGGAGGGTGGGGAGGGTGGGGAGGGATAATGTGGGGAGAAGTACCAGATATAAGTGATGGGGGGATGGAGGCCACAAACCACCTTGCCATGTATGTACCTATGCAACAATCCTGCCTGATCTGTACATGTACCCCAGAACCTAAAGTACAATTAAAAAAAAAAAACCCAAGCCAGTATCCTTTCTTTGCTCTCACAGGACATTTTTGATCATATTGGGAGGACTCATTGTTTTTTTTCAGAAAGCCTCAGTTATGTATGTAACAAACCTTTATATACCCTCTTGGATTGTGTGTGTCCTAGCATCAGTCTCAACATGTGAAGTAAATTTTGGGCAGGATTCCAAAATGCCATTACAGAGTAGTCAAAACCACTATGATATTTTCATATATATAATTAGCCTTCTCTATCTCTGGATTCCATATACATGGATTCAACCAATTGCAGATTGAAAATGAAGTATTTGTGGATGTGGAACCCACTGATAAGGAGATTCCTGGAACAAATTCCTTGTGGATATGGAGGAAACAACTGTATAATTGAACTTCTGATTTCACTTGACATGGAGTAAGAAGGATCCATCTGAATGAAGAACAGCTAAAAATAGAAACACATATAAAATCAAATGTTACAAATACTAAAATGTACAGTACTACCACACTGAAGATAAGGCACAGAGTTGAAAGTAAATTTTTTTGAAGCATATATCTGATAATTTGTTTCAAGGATAAAGAACTCTGAAAAAACAATAAAAAAGCAAAAACCCAGTTAAAAATGGGCAAAATATTTGAAGAGACACTTTATGAAGAAGATATATTCATGGAAAGTTAAGACATGAAAAGATGCTCAACAATATTAGTTATTAGGAAAATGCAAATTAACCACAAGGAGATACCACTACAAATCTAGTAGAATATTTAAGACTGATTATATTGGGTGTTGCAGAGGGTATAAACAAATTGGAACTTTCATACACTGATGTTGGGAAGGTAAATGGTACAACCTAATTGGAAAACAGTTTAGAAATTTCTTAATGATTGCATAACCTTTACCTTGTGATCCAGCAGTTCTGCCCCGGGGGTAGAATTAATTAGATAAAGAAAAAAACATATGTCAAACAATTGTGCACAAAAGTTCATAGTACTTTTATTTGTAATAGCCATAAACCGAACAACCTGGATGCCCATTGATAGGTGAATAAACAAATTGTTTTATATTTTTTTTATAAATATAAATACTATTGAGAAACACAAAGAAATGAACTGTTGATACAAAGCATCATGAATAATTCTTAAACAAATTTTGCTATGTAAAAGAAACCAGGCATGTGAAAGGTACATACAGTATGAGAACATGAATATTAAAACACTAGAAAACACTCAAATCCATTGAGACAGAAAGCACATCAGTGGTTGCCTAGAGAAGTGGATTGTGAAGGCCAAGACAGAGGTATTACAAAGAGAAATTAAAAACATTTAGAGGTGGTGAATATTATCTTTCATGGTTACATAGTTATGTCAAAACTTGTCAAATTGTACACTTTAAAAAGAGTCCACTCTAGCATATGTAAGTGAACTACAACTCAATAGTGCTTTTGTACACATGTGTATATACACATTTATATCATATATAATATATATGTTATATATTATGTATTCATACACAGTAATCCCTAAAGCAACTACTAAAACAAAACATTAAAGTTATAGACAAAATTGAAACACAGTAATACTAAAATCAACTGTTTTAAATCAAATGAGGCAGTCACAGAGGAACAAAAAAACAATGAAAAATGACAATGGATATATAGAAAATAATAGCAAAATGAGAAATGCAAATCCAGCCATATCAATGTTATAGTAAATGTACTTTTTAAAAAAATACCCCAGTCAAATGGCAGAGACTGTCAAATTGGATAAAAAAATTAAGGAATCAATATGTACTGTCTAAAAGAGACATACTTTTGATACAAAGACATAAATAAGTTAAATGTAGAAGATTGGAAAATGTAGACCTTGTAAGTAGTAACCATAAGAGAGTTACAGGGACTATACTATATTTTACAATATATACTTTATTTTTTTCTTGTTAATGTTTTTAGTTTTTTTTTTATTAATTCACTGTCGTTTTCCAAATTTGCCACCATAGGCTTAATCACATTAATAATCCCTTACCTATAATTCCAAAATCCACAAAGCTCATTTGACAGCAAAATATGAATTCTTCTGAGTTCACATGAAGTCTTCAATGTTCTCAGGTGGTGTAACTATCTATACATTTCTCTGAAGAAGTATTAATGTATTATTTAACATTCAGTGTAAACAAATGCATCTAAAAGCTTAAAATATTTGGCTTACAAAATGCATCTGGCCCCTGGGTTGGGGACATAGGTTTGTGGGTCTGTATTACTGTTATAGTCAGGACGATAGAAAGGTGAAAATTATAATGGTACTCCCCTACTCAACAGAAGACGATCAATTAAGAAGGTGTGTATACAGTAAATGTCCACCCAGAAGATTATCTCCAAAAAGTAAATTATGGGAAAAAAGACAGGCTCGGTGGCTCAAGAAATAACAACAATGTCCAAGAAAGATATCTATAATGAGAAAGGAGTTGTTAAATCCTGAATATTGAACAATTATTAACATATAATTGAAACAGATAATTCATCAATATTACTTTTATATTTAAATGATTTATTCTCAGGAAGAAACAAAGGAATAAGGAAAGAAGGAATAAAGGAGGAAAAGAAAAAAAAAACTTCAAGTTTTTGCAGATGGGCTTATTGGGGCTCATACCTGCCACATTCAGTCAGACAAATTACAATTTTGTCTTAGTTTTCAGTTTCTGCTTGTGATGAGCCTGAGGTTTGATCAGAAGAAGATAGGGCTTAGGATGTTTTCAGATATTTTGTATTTATGCATCCAGTCCAGGATATGGATATGCTACTAGATTCCTAATATTGAAAAGCTTTGAAAGCCATTATTCCCAAAGCTTTTCATTATTCAGCTTTTCTTTCTAAGCTTGTAGCTTACCTATTGTTTGTTTCAGTTGTTATAGCTTGTCCATGTAATAGCAGCTGCATTGTTTGCCTTTAACTATTTTTGAAAATATCTCAGTATAGCTTTCTCATTCTGGATGAGTTCTGGGCTAGGCAAATAAAAGATAACCTATTTGAGTGAGTTCTTCAATGAGGCACCAAATAGGTCAAAATAAGAAAGCACAGTTCTTTGAGAAAAAATAAATAAATTCTTCATTCTGAATAATTGATGGAATAACTAAACATGAAATCACCAAGGATGTGGAAGGCTTGACAAAACTGTCAACCAACTTGACCTGACATATACAGAATAATCCATGCAATAACTGCAAAATACATATTCATTCAAGGACACTTTTTTTTCCAAACAAATACATGAAATAGACCATATCCTAAACTATGAAATAAGACAGATTCAATTAGAAAGAATTAAAATTAGAAAAAGTATTTCTATGACCACAAATAAATTAAATTAGAAACAAACTACAGAAATGTATCTGGGAAATCTTAAAATAATAAGGAATTAGACAAAAAATCACTTTTAAATAAATCCTGAGTCATAGAAGAAGTCATAAGGTAAATCAGAAAATACTCTTAATTGGATGGAAAATAATATAGACCACACTGAAAGATATGTATACAACAAAAGCACAGAAAGATTTATAGCTTTAAATTCTTGCATAAAAAATAAAGGTTTCCAATCTACAACCAAAGTTTCTATATTAATAACCAGAAAAAGAAGAGCAGACTAAGAAAATGGTGGTCAGAATAAAGCAAGAACTCAAGGAAATAGAAAACAGAAAAATATAGAAAAAAATAAAGACAAAAGTTTCTATTTGAAATGGTTAAGAAAACTGAAAAATCTTTAAGCAGACTAAACAAGAAAACCGGGGAGAAGGTGCAGTTTAACAAAATCAAAACTAAAACGGGGACTTTATGACTAAACCTACTTAAATTAAAATAATTATACAAAAATACTATGGTCAACGGTATGGCAACAACTTAAACATTAAAAGATATAGAAAAATTCCAAGAAAGACATAAATTGTCAAAACTGACAATAAGAAATAGAATATCAAAATGGACCTATAACAAGTGAAGATATTGAATTCATAATTTAAAATGTTCTTGCAAAAAAACCTTGGCCCAGATGGCTTTACTGGTGAATGTTATCAAATTTTAAAGAACCCTTCAGATATTTGAAGAAGGAGAAACAATTTTCTTTCTTTTTTTTTTTTTTTTGCCAGTCTCAGTTTTTAATCATGGCAGGCAGGGCCTCACACACGCACAGGCACACACTCAGGCTTCAGATCTTGTTGAAAGCTGCAATGTCGACACTCTGCACGTGCTCCTCACTCTTGGTGATATCCTCCTCCAGCAAGTCCGTCCCCACCTTGTCATCCTCCACCACACACTGAATCTGCAGCTTCTGGATACCGTAGCCCATAGGCACCAGCTTGGAGGCCCCCCAGACCAGCCCGTCCAGCTGGATGGAGCACACACAGGACTCCAGCTGGACCATGGCCATCTCATCATCCCAAGGCTTGACGTCCAGCAGGATGGAGGAGTTGGCCACCAGCGCGGGCTTCTTGGCCTTCTCTGCTTACTGCCGCAGCTGCTCCTCCCGCAGCTGGGCTGCCTCCTTGTCCTCCTCATTGTTGCTGCCAAACAGGTCAATGATATCGTCCTCGTCATCCTCTGCTGGTGTGGCTGGCTTCTTGGTTGGGGGCTCCACTTGGTGCATGGGAGACACGTGCTGGGTCTGTGGGGCTGTGGCCCAGTGGCCGAGTGAGCTCTTCTCTAGCACATTCAGCCGGGCCTCCAGCTTGGAGAGAGCCTGCTGCAGCTCCTGTACCGTGCCACGCAGGCTCTGGTTCTCCACTTCCAGACTGGCGATCCGGACTACGAGCTAGCTGTGGTCTCCAGTGGTGCCGCTGGAGGCCCCGGGGCCTGAGCTTCTGGCCAGGGATTTCTGGATGTTCTCTCTGGCTCTGGCAATGTCACGGAGGATCACGCTGGCGCTGTTCTCCTAGTGGGAAGCACCAGCCACAGGCCCATTCATCTGCTCATAGAATCTCCTTTCTGCATCGTCATATTTGAACTTGTTGAACCAGATCTTCTCATGTACTAGGAAGTTTGTAGCCATTTTTCTCACGCCAGCCAAGGACGTGGCGACCAGGGAGGAGGAATGGGCGGATGCTGGACGCCCGAGGAAAGAGGGGCGGAGAAACAGTTTTCTATAAATTGTAGGAGGCTAGTATTTTCCTGATACCAGAGCCAAACAGACATTATACATAAAACAAAAGAAAACAAAACAATAAACCAATAGCCCTCAGGAACATATATACTAAAATTCTTAATAAAATATTTACAGACAAAATCCAGCTGCATAAAATTATAAATAATGAACAGGTGAGATTTACTCCAGGAATGCAACAATGGATTAATATCTGAAACTCCTTGAATTTTATATTAATACATTATATTATGCATAAAAGGGAAATTTTATATAATCATATCAATAGATACAAACAAAAGCACTTGATAAAATCCTACACCCCTTCATGGTAAGAATTTTCAATATTTAGGAACAAAAATAAACTCCCTAATATTGTTTATATGTTTATGAAATCCCATGGTTGACATTATACTTAATTGTTAGAAACTGCATGTTTCCTCCATAATATTCACAAAACACAAAATGTTTATTTTGTTATTTCTATTCAATATAATATCAGATATTGTAGACAGTGTAATATGGAAAATATAAGGTACTGTGTTTGAAAAGGAAGAAAAAATTAGCTGAGGATAACCTAGATTGCCAGTCCTGAGAAAGAGCTGGGCATTTAATGTGGACTACAGGTCCACATCAAGAAGGTAATGTCTGTCTGTCATGCTCACAACAGTCATATAGTTAAAGTCTGGAATGCTGCCATTGAAAAACAAAATACCCAATAACCACACTGCAAGTAAGATCCACTAACACAGAAGTACAGCTTCCACTTTACTTCCCATCTTGTGTAACTATAGCTAGGACAGGCAGCACAGACAGGAATCACTAGAAGGAGCTAATTACTTACAATAATAAATGATGAGACACAAGAAGAGATTTATAAAAGACGATGTGCTTAACAGATTCATAGGTAAGACATTTGCTTTCAACTATGATAGAGTAACAGGAAGAGCATGATTGTGTCAGCTGCCTTAGTACTCTTAAGAAACCAGGCAGCATATGTGAAATAATGATTTTCGAATGTTGGCCAACAGGTAGCAAAGAGCTATGATTTCTGTAAAAAGAAAAACACATAAGACTAGCTTTGTGCAGGGATAAGAAATGCAAACGAAATCCAGAGATCTCATTCTGTTGGTAGAGACAGATATCAGAATTCAAGTAGGCCCATTCACCTTGAGAAGCAGGGCAGGTAATAGAAAAAATAAAAGGGAGCAACAGAGATAGTACCACAGACATTCAGAGAGGGTCCATCAAGTTTTAGCTGAGTGTTGATCTGGGCATTAGTGAAAGGAAATTATACAAGGACAGGGAGAGGATTACTCAGAAATAGTAGGCCTATCTCTTAGAGTACACACAGGGTTGAAAAGAAGTTATATTCCAATTAGTCAGAATAGAAAAATTTCCTAACTCATAGAATAGTGTGGGCCACAGAAAGTTATTAAAACAATAGCAGGACTAAATTTTCTCCACAGCAGTTGCTCTGCAGGCACTTTAGGAAATTTTAAAGCAAGTATTAAAAAGATTTAATTAATCCAAATAATTTAATTGCATGTGAGGCAAAATCCAGCAGCATTCAAAAGAACACAACAAAATTCTCATCCAAATGGAAAATTTGGAATTTCCAGTACCCAGTCATCAATTACCAGTAGTATCAGTCAGTTCCACTGGAGGAGTAGAACCACAAGGAAATCAATTGGTAGATGATATTCATAGATATTATATATTTACCAAAATGTATAAAGTCATACATTGCTAATTGTTGAATTTTACTGTATGAATGTTATGCTTCAATATGGTTTTATTGAAGATTGATAAGATAAACACAAAAGATGGGGTGTATCAAAGTCAAAGAAAAAGACTCCCAGAGGTTCTTCTGAAAACTAGTAACAAAAGGGAAAATACCTCTGCTGTGAACTGAACTGTGTTCCTTCAAAATTTATATTCTGAAACCCTAACCCTCACATTGGTGGTATTTAAACGTAGAGGTTTTGAAAGATAATTAGATTTAGATGAAGTCATTAGGGTGAAGTATTCATGATGGGATTAGCACTTTCGTAAGAAGAGATGCTAGACAGTTACATGTCTCTCTCCTTCTGCCATGTGAGCACACAGCAAGAAGTCAGCCATCTACAATCCAGGGAAACACCCAACACCAGAACCCAACCATGCTGGGACCCTGATCTTGGATTTCCAGCTTCCAGAACTTTGAGGAAAATACAGTTCTATTGTTTAAGCCACTCACTCTAGGGTATTTTGTTAAGGAAGCTTGAACTGACTAAGACAACCTCCTATTTTATTTTCCCCTCTATATGTTTTTTCCCCTCTTTAAAAGTTGAAAAGGAAATTTAATGACTTTTGAGTGACAGACTTTCAGGTATAAATCATACGATGACACCACAGAATTTATGTAGTAATAATATCTGACATGTCTGAATGGAGAAAACATTGTCTTATAACATTGAAAATATGTCCTGTGTCATTGCCACGAACATGACATCTTGCACACTAGCAAAATGAATGCCAACTGTATTGTTTCTTTCCTCATGTAATTGACAAATTTAATTCTTAGAAATAAATACACAAATCTTCACCTTATCATCTATTATCTGTCTCATTTATCAAACACATAGATACACACACACACACACACACACACACATACACACACACATAAAATCTGCATGTCTATCTATAAGTTTCTTCCTTGGTAAGGTATTATCAAATATGGAGAGACAATACAAATGATTCTTGGCAGATACAAATTATATGTATCACAATTACTATATAATATACAAATTATATATATGGTATATATATCTTCTAGAATGCTTAGAAATGTAATAAATTTTAATAATAAATATAAAAATAGGCTGTCCTTAGAAATGTAATAAATTTTAATAATAAATATAAAAATAGGCTGGGATTAATAAGAGCAGATACTATTACAAAATTTGTTGTGTTTCAGATTTCTTAATCGTAGTACTTAATGCCTGAAGATAATGGTACAATTTGTAAGAATTCTAGGCAATAAAAATGTTTTATGCTCATTTTCATTCAAGCAAATGGTCAATGGTACCTTATCTCAAACATGGAACATTTCAGTAAAAATTTGTTAAATGTTGCACATATTAACTCTAAAGTAATATAAGTAAAAAACAACAATCAATTTTTTGGCACCAAAATCCATCCAAGAAATGTATGGTGAGGCTGTGATAAAATAAATGGTGAAGATCTGTAAACATATTTATATTTGTCAAAACTGATCAAATTGTACATCCTAATCATATGGTTTATTTTCCTTTAAGCAGACTTCAATAACACTGTAAAAAATAAGATAAGATTAAATATTACATCATTATATAAAATTGAAGCTCCTGGTATCCTATCATCTCACAATGTCTATTTTTATGTTGTATTTTGATTGACAAATTTATAATATTTAAAATTGTATTTTACATTTCATTCTATGGTGTAAAGAGTATTTTATCATTCTAGATTTTTATGTTCTAAGAAACTTTTGCATATCTTAAATGAAAAATATTTTGTGAATTTTTCCTAGAATTTAAAAGTTTTGGGTTCAGTAATTCATCTTGATGTTTTTTAAAAATGTAGGCTGTGCTGTGACTTTTTAAAGTTTTTGTATTTTTATATTCAGTTAATACAACATTATTGGAAAAACTTTTTGGTGGAATGGCCTTGTTACCTTTGTCAGTAATAAGTTGAACATGTATTTATGTATGTGGGTCTATTTCTGCATTCTTCTTTATTCCACTTATCTGTATGTACATAATTTGTTTAATACCAAATGATCTTGATTTCTGCAGTTTTATAATAAGTCTTTAAATAAGAGAGATTAAGTCCTGCAATCTTCTTTTCCATTTAAAAAACTGTTTCAGTTAAATGTAATAAGGTTTTCAATTACTACAGAAAAATCCTCCTGGAATTTTGATTGTTCCACAACCAAATACATTGCAACTGTGTATCAATTTCAGGAAAATTGCTCTTATCAATGTTGAGTCCTCTAATTCACACATTTAGCATTCATTCTTCATCTATTATCTTTAATTCTTTTAAGCAACATTCTTAATTTTCAAGGCAAAGTGTTTAGATGTCTTCTACTAGTTTTTTTTTATTAAATACTTTTATGTTTTGAGGGTACTATAAGTGGGATATTTTTGAATTTCATTTTCCAAATGTTTGAAGCTAATTTGTAAAAAGTCAGTTCATTTTTTACACTAATTCTGTAACATGCTAACTTCATTTATTCATTCTGTGAGTTATTTTATGTTTTTACTATGCAAGCAATCATGTCACTCACAAATAGGAGTAGCATTTCTTCTCTTTTTTTTTTTTTGAGACGGAGTTTCGCTGGTTACCCAGGCTGGAGTGCAATGGCACGATCTCGGCTCACCGCAACCTCCACCTCCTGGGTTCAGGCAATTCTTCTGCCTCAGCCTTCTGAGTAGCTGGGATTACAGGCACGCGCCACCATACCCAGCTAATTTTTTTTGTATTTTTAGTAGAGACGGGGTCTCACCATGTTGACCAGGATGGTCTCGATCTGTTGAACTCGTGATCCACCCGCCTCTGCCTCCCAAAGTGCTGGGATTACAGGCTTGAGCCACCGCGCCCAGCCCATTTCTTCTCTTTTTCTGATATTTGTGACTTTTCTTTCTTTACTTGCATTATTTTAATGGCTAGGACTTCCAGTGTTGAACAGAAGTGGTGAAACCAATCATCCTTTACTGGTTTCTGGTGTTAAGGGGAACATTTATTATTTGAAATTTAAGTATCATTTTAGCTCTAGGTTTTTCATAGATATCCTTCATTATTTTCAGTATGTTCTCAACCATTTATACTTTGCTGTAACTTTTTATTAAAAAATTTATTAAATGCTTTCTCTGCACCTACTGAAATGATTACATATTTTTTCATCTTCTCTTAACATAGTAATTTACAGTAACTTATTTTCAAAATTTGAGCTGCTTTTGCTTT